GTCAACTTTTCGCAGGAAAAATTTGATGAGCTGACAAAATTTTTTAAAGAAAAATTTTCACTGGAAATGGGTAATGGTAGAAATGATCCAACAACCAAAGGTGCGGCTACCATTGATGCGGTGTTTTCCAGAAATATTAATAATATTGAAATAAAACATTTCATATCTTACATAAGTTACCACAATCTGCTAGATAATTAATATTGTAGATATGGATGTTTTCTCAGGCACACGTAATAATTAAACTTTGCAGTTGGTTATAAAAAATTAAAAATTAAAGGTCGTTAAAATTTGAAATGAATATGTTTTTTGTACATTAGAAAATATGTACATGTGTATTAGGGTGCTTTTTTTCGCCGTTAAGACTAAACTTTCTTTTAATTTTATTTTTGCCTTCGATTCTGATGTAACCACCGAATATCAGATTAAATATCCGATATGTGTAGTTCAATTACGCCAGCCAAATTGGGGAATATGGAATTCATTGTAAAACAGTAAAATCGAGTGACATTAAAAAATAATATGCATGCAACCACCAATCGACGGCTTTTATATCGTTTCGCATTTAAATGAAAAAATATGTATGTAGATCTCCAAATAGAATTTCAAATGAATAACATCCTCTGAACAAAACCACTTATTTGTGTTGAAAGGAAAATTGACAGTTAATTAATGCAGAAACTCCAATCTAGTATGTACATATGCCCTACATACATACATACACACTCTCACAACACCAATGAGCATTTTTAAAATATCTATTACTCACATTCAAGTAATGCTTCCGTTTAAGTTGTGTTAATTAATGAGATGCAAAGTCTGCCAACGTAAATATGTATGCCTGCAGTTGCAAATAAAAGTGCTTACATATGTATGTATATTGAAATTTAAATCGCTTTTGTTTATGCAGCGATGTGATTTCAATTTCCTGCAACAGCGGTTGAATACGATTTGCATTTCAATTCTGTAGCATAGCTATTTGCATAAACTTACATCAATTCGCTTACATGTTGGTGGATGCTAGCATTCTATGACTCCTTTTACGTCTACACCCAAGCGCGCAAAGTTTATATCACAGTTTGTGCAAATGTAATCGCACCTTGGGCTTTGATCCTCGGCGCCTTCCACCTCGCCTCCAATTGAAGTATGCCCATTTGCATGCCTTGGCATCAATTAGTTTTAAATTATACAACACTTGAGATATTGAAATATTTGTTGTAGTGAGGATAGGGAAGAAGGCAAGTACACTCAGGCGTTGCTGCTCTTAGTGCCAGTGGTGTAATCGATCGTTTCCTATGTGGCAATAGGTTATGCCGAATGAATGTAATGCAAATGCCTGTGTGTGAATTATGTAGAAATTGATAGAAAGCAACTCACTGGTATTGTTACATTCACGTGCTTATGTAAATACATAAGTACCCAGCGAACCAACACACAAGCCTTTAGTGAGAGTCTCGCAAAATATCCGCAAAGTCTCACACATGAGCTTGAATTCGTTGATAAAAATCCGAGTGCAAGTGAAAGAATAGGGGTATTCTCCAAATCTTGCAAACACACAACAACACACAATACACGGGAAACAACATTTCCTATCGCTGCGAAATATGCAACGTCGAAATCCATGTATATATTTTGCATAATAGCATAGCAAGATAAATGCGACCCTGTGCTAGTTGTTTTGTTGTTGGAATTGCTACATATTTTCCTCATTCCTCTCATTTCGCCGACTTCGTTTTTTTTTTGCTGTCCCTTGTTATTGTATTTGATACATAGTTTCGCTGCTTGCTACCCATGTATGCTCCCACTTTGCAATGGGGTGCTCTCGTACTCGTCGAAATTTTGAATAGTATTTTTGCATTTCGTGCAATCCGTGCATCGTGCAAGACTTCGAGAAAACCCCTAATGACTTAAATTAAACATGTAATGCCACAAACTGATCGACATATGAATCATAGTAGACATCGTTTCCCGAGTGTGTTTTCGAGAGTTTAGCTGGATTAGCGGATTAGCATCTGCAAAGGAGTGTTCAAAAAATTAGTCCGACAGCATCATTCTGGCCGATTTAAACATAACCGAGACGATTTCAACCTAGCCGACGTAAAGCAAGACGAAGACGATCAATCGAGATACATAATAAGGCTGTAAGACTCTCATTTCACTAGCATGCGGTATCATTTGCGAGCATTTTGGTTTGCTGGGTATTCATTACCTAATAAACTTACGGGCATAAAAGTATGTTTTTAGAAGGGCTTCAAATCAAAAATGAATTCCTCCACCCAAAGAACAGTAATATACCATACATTTTCAGAAGAATTTCATTGTTTGATCGAATTTTACTCATTTTTCCTGTATGCGGGGTCGCCAACTTTAAATACGGATAAAAAATAAACCAGATTTATAGGCTAAAAATCGTGTTGGGATTTTGTAACGGGAGGTGTGAGCTTTCGTTTACTTTTTGTTTCATGAAATACGTAGAATCTTGTAGTACAAAATTGTCAACTTTTCCAATTATTATTAGTAGGAAAAATACCATTGTACTACTACACATACATATTAAATACGTATTTTTCTATGCAACACATCCTGACTGTGTACTTTCAATGACTTCTCTCTCCCAGTTTGATTCGAATCGAACCATAAAAATGTTTATTTTCTAACATATTTAATATAAATGTATGCCCGTCTAGTTATGTAGAATCAATACTCAGACTTCATATGAATTGGTATGCCTATTACGAGAGAATTAACTAACACAGAGCAGTTAAGCTTAAGTTTTCAGTACAAACAGTTTTACGGAGATTTTTCCCAGAAATACACAAAATATACTAACATGAAAAAATTCACTTATTTTTATTGCGAAATATAAAAAAGAGCATACATATGCATAAATGTTCCATAAAATTATAAAATTAGGTAGCAATTTTCTTGAACGATTCCGAATAATTTTACAGCGAAATACAATATATTTATATGGTACCGTTTACTTATATACATTTATGAGCTATGAATATTCTCTTAATTCCCAATAAGTAAGAAAATTATCATTATCAATACATACAAATCTACATTTCTAAATTTCTAAATACATACATATCTCTATTCATTTAAGCTGTGTTTCTTACCAATTGCGAATGTCCTCAAATCCTTATTCACTAAAACATCCTAATCTATACGATTATTTAGGTATACCTAGCCATTTGCTTAGAGATATAAAAGCACCTAAATATAAATAACTTTGTGATATAAATACATGTTTATTTTACTATCGAACAGCAATTCCTTCATTCAGAAAAAACATGCAAAACAGTTGCAGCAGCAAGTGTGGTTGCATCAAATGGGTGGCTTCTTCATGTTGCATTGCTGCAGGATGTTCGGTTTTGATTACGTGCACATAGACGCTGTCAGAATCTGCAAAGACAATAAAGAAATATTTCTATTAGTTTAGCTAGGAACTTGTGAAGTAGTTTTTAATTGTTGTTCAAATAAAAAAAGTAGCCCTCTTTTCGTTTCTACCAAAAAGTTTCATCTTTTGGTTGCCCCTTTCTCTTTTCGTGTACGACTCTAAAATAAAAGCATCCCGACGAAAAAGATTCTGTAACGTCAAAGGCACATTAACTGCTATTTGAGGCATTTCCAGGGAAAATGGTTGCTTTAAACGACAATGTTAGTTATGAAATGCGTGAGCTACTTTTATAGGGTTGTGAGTAGTATCAAACACATTTTTAACCATGGAAGGGCAAATTTTTTTTGGAAAACACGAAAATACCACAAAATCAAAAATAATTACTCAAAGTAACCTTAATTTTTGTACAAGGTATTAAAGCTAGTTATAAAGCCTCGTCTACTGCAATGATAGCTGATATCATAAATATGTACATCGACGGCTGAGTGGAAGCTCGACCTATCTCGGCAAAAATTTCAATTTTTTCAAAAATGCCCTTTCCCAACTTCTGCTTTAAAAACGCCCTACTTCAACATATTTTCAATATATTTGCAGTTGAGATAAAGCATTTTCAATCAAATTCTGAAATAAGGCGTTTTTGAGACATTTTCTGAGATAATTCTAAAAGAAAAATATTTGCCTTCCCCTTGGGAACCAATTTGCACTAATCGGCGTTTTTGTATTGATTGGTAGTGGACACCAAGGCAACAGAAATGAAAGTCTACGATCACATTCAAAGTTATGCAAGGAGGATAGTAGACTTGGTGGAATTGTACTTCATCTGATTGGTCAAGAGTTTTGGCAGCAAATGTACAAAAAAAAAATGCCTTCGATTAAATATTGAATACCCTTTTTGGAGTAACTACTAGGTATCATTTGCATTTGTTTGGACTGTTTTAAGAGGTTTTTGGCTACTAGGATTCTTGACTAAGTACATTTTCAATGAGTACTTTAATGAAATTTAAAATGTTAATCGAACAAGAAAACTTTTCTAAATAAACCGAAAACTGCGTTCAATGCCTAAACTGACTACAGGATATTTAGATGAAAAATTATTCCAGCTTTCATCATTTGCGGCTTCATGAGTGTACACTTTTAAAAGTAGTTACGCATTTCTTAGTTTTTTATTTTTTTGTGAAATAACGTGTTGCTAGATTCCTCGAATTAAAAATGTATGCGAAGTGAAGCAGATGGCTTTGTTCCTAATAGCTTATATTAAAATGAAAACTTTTAGTGCATTTTTTGCATAATTTACCAATAAATCCAGCATGGAAACTGAACTTTCACTAGCTCCGGCAGCCAAAGGTTTACTCTCAATTCATAAACTGATCCCATTACATACACTCGCTTACCAATGTTCATTCAACTTAAAAGCGAAAACAAAAAATAGTAACTCAACTGGCCGCAGGATGTGCAAGGAGTAGTGAGAAAATTACTTTTACTTTGCATAGCTAAACTTAAATTCAACTTTTATTTAAAACAATTTTGCGTGCGACCAAAAGAACATCAGCATCGACACTCACGTCACTAAAGCATAAATAACTAAGAAGAAGCAGAAAAGAGAAGAAGCAGCAGACAACAACAACCGCAACAACTGCAAATGCGTTCAAGGTTGCTGCGCCGCGTTCCAGTGGGTCGGTCGGTCGGGTCGGGTGCTAAAAATGCAACTCAGCACCAAGGCGCTAGACCAGCTGCAGCTATGCATCTGCATATGTATGTATTTGTGTAGGTAGCTAATAGTGGCGTTGCTATACAACTACGATGATACGGAGGCATTAAGCTGCACTGCACACACGGCCGCGCGCCCCCATCCCTATCTTTGCACACAAATACGAACACATAGACACGCAGATTTATGCACTTGCAACAAAAGCACACGCTCTCGTGCGCATCATGTTCGTGTATGTATTCTCTAATGTGCATCCATTGCACTGCTTTAATTTACAGTTATGTTGTCATAACGAGCCCAAACTACAGCTTATCTTGTCGCATGGAAATCATAGAGTACGCAGCGGATGGCAAATCGGTAGGAAAATAGCGCCGAAATGCAGTCTGGGAGTATTTTTTGGACGAGCTGGTAAGTCCTTTGTAATTTCAATCATGGAAGCTTTTGCGCTTGCAACTGGACTTGACCTAACTTTTTACCAAAATGTTTTTGATTCTCCTGCAGCTCAGTTTTATTGCTCTACGATGTTAGTTAAATAAATGCCCAACTTTGGCTGCACAGTCTTGCCAGGATTTGTTAACTCATCTGCCTGCAATTTGTAAAGTGAGCCGTTTTTGTTACACTGTGATGAAAAGTTGCAGAAGACTTAAGTCACTTAATTGATCTCTTGACTTTTTGATGTTTTTAATTTTAAAATTCCCTCATCTCCAAAAACGAGCAAGCAAAATAGGAGAGTGGTGATAATAGCAGCTGGTAGCTTCGAAACCCGCGGATCTAACTCTCATCTAAGATGTAGTCACGAATATGTACTACTTAGTACCTATGTATGCACACTGTTGACTTGACATATCACAATCCAATTAAATAAAAAAATATGCTTTACTTCAAATATATGTTGACCCTAATCTATAACAAAAACATTATGTAAAATAAAATAAAATAAAATAAAATAAAATAAAATCAAATAAAATAAAATAAAATAAATTAAAATAAAATAAAATAAAATAAAATAAAATAAAATAAAATAAAATAAAATAAAATAAAATAAAATAAAATAAAATAAAATAAAATAAAATAAAATAAAATAAAATAAAATAAAATAAAATAAAATAAAATAAAATAAAATAAAATAAAATAAAATAAAATAAAATAAAATAAAATAAAATAAAATAAAATAAAATAAAATAAAATAAAATAAAATAAAATAAAATAAAATAAAATAAAATAAAATAAAATAAAATAAAATAAAATAAAATAAAATAAAATAAAATAAAATAAAATAAAATAAAATAAAATAAAATAAAATAAAAT